AATTATGATTACACTTTAAGGTCTGGGCAGATGCAGAACGTGCAGGTTTGTTACATGGTATACACGTGCCATGGTGGTTTGCTGGATCCATCACCCTGTCATCTACATTAGGTATTTCTAATGCTATCCTTCCCCTAGCCCCCCATCCCCCAACGGGCCCAGTGTGTGATGTTCCCTCCCTGTGTTCTCATTGTTCTACTCCCACTTACGAGTGAGAACATGTGGCGTTTGGTTGTGTTAGTTTGCTGAGAATGATGGTTTCCAGCTTCATCCATGTCCCTGCAAAGGACAGGAACTCATCCTTTTCATGTGGACTAGCCACTTTTCAAGTACTCAATTGCCACCTGTGGTTGTACAGTGTAGCTCTAGGGCAGGGGCTAGCAAAGTTTTTCTGTGCAAAGTCAGAAATATTTAAGTTTGTGAGATACAGTTTCTGCTGCATTTTATTGTCTCCCTTAATTTTGTTCCTGTTTTTAAAGATACTTTAAAAAATGTAAAAGCTATTTTTAGCTTATGCACAGTACAATTACAGGCTGCCTCAGGCTATGATTTTCGGTCCCTACTCTAGAGTGTGAAAATCAGCCCTTCTGAGGGTTCTCTAACTTCTGTGCTGAATCCTGCCTGCTTATAGTAGCAAGAGTAGATTCTGTTTTCCACATTTGAATTTAGCAAATTTATACAGAACATTATTCACCTCATTCTATAGCATAAGGAAATGGAGATTCCAAGACTTTAAGCAACTTTCCAAGGTCACAGAGCATCTAAGTGACAGAGCTAGAAAGAGAATCCATAACTGCTCGACTCCAAAGCTGACAATTTTATCCGCTGCATCATTGGCTCTCCACTATTACTAAGACTTTCTTTAGCTTGAGTAATGAACCTTCACTGATCCGTTTATTCAGCTTACAAATATTTATTGAATGACCACTATGCACAAGACATAAATAATAGGAACATTGCCTTTGACCCAAGTTTAAGCACATTTTTTAAAAGGCTCAAATTTTCTATCAATTTAATTTATGAGATACAAAATGAAGTGAAAAATTGACAATTATTTACTTACTTCAATCAATACAAACAGCAAGTCAGATAATTCAGGCCTGATCCAGTTAACCCCAAACTGGCAGAGGTATAAACATTTTATGTTCTCTGTTTTAATCTGTTTTGTGTTGCTATAAGAGAATACCTGAGACTGGGTAATTTATAGCAAACAGGAATTTACTGGCTCACAGTTCTGAAAGCTGAGAAGTCCAAGACAGAGGGGCCACATTTTGAGGACCTTCTTACTGTGTCATTGCATGGCAGAAAGCAAAAGGGCATAGAGGTCAAGACAAAGAGAACGAGAGAGGGCCAAACTTGGTTTTATAACAAACCCACTCTCGATAACAAACTCACTCTCATGATAACAACATTAGTCCATTTGTGAGAGTAGAGCCCTCATGATCTATTAATCACTTCTTAAAGGTCCCACCTGTCAATATGATTGGACTGGGGATTAAATTTCCAACACATGAACTTTATGAGAGACATTCAAACCATAGCATTCTCATGCTTTTTCTAATTCAAATACTCTATTAGCTTCAGACACAGGAGGTACTAAAATAGATACACAATCAAGCAGTTACATGCAACATTGAAAATAACATAATGTAATGATCAGTACTTAGGTTAATATGTTAATTTATTTAATTTTTTGGCACATTTATTTGGCCGTGTGCTTGTTCACTCCCACTAGTTTTTGGTAGCTGTCCTCCAAAACTTTATGCCTTCCCTAATACACTGCAAGTGGATCACTTACTATTCCTCTTTAAACATTTAATAATATTCCATACCTTAAATTGGTTTCTCTTTGGATGAGCTTTTCATTATTGACTCTTCCTGTAACTCGAATTAAGATACAAACTAGATATTTATGATGATGTATGATATTCTTCATTTAAAACCCCCCAATAAAATTATTTCTGTCCAATACCTCTACTACCCATAATTGCACATATGGGCTACACTGGATCATCTCCTTTGAGAATATTTATGGTCTTACGTTCATTCATCTATAGGACTCCCACCATGTTCAAAGCAGTGATATCCAAAGGGTAAAATTCCTAATAAGTATGAATAAATAATATATTTCATAAGGAAAGCCAAAAGCCAAGGATTCTTCTCTCATTTTGATTTTCCTTTTCAATTCAGGTGGCAACTGACATTGTTTTTCTTATGGGCTATAGTTTCCTCTGTAACAAACAGCTGTATTGCCAGGTTGACTCCAGAAATTGTGTGAGTACTTCTCATCTCTGGGAAGGTTACAAACACCTGGATTAAGGACTGGGAGCTTGAGCCATAACTCCATTAGCTTTAGGGATGATTTCAAAGTATTTCTTAAGAGCCAGTTCAAAAGGAATGATCTTTTTTTTTGGTACTGTTAAATCTGGTTCAAAACTTTTTTGTTTCTTTATGTCAAGAGTTGTGAAGGAAGCACCAATACCAGAAGAAAAGGAAAAAAATCTGTTCTTCAAAGGCTGAGAGGGAAATTTAGGTAAGCTCCAAACTATTAACTAGGGATACTAAGAAAGCAGATACTTAAAATATTTTGATTTCATTATTAAAAACCTGATTTTATTTATCTAATCTGTGAAATAATTTTCATTAGGAATATAGTGTCAATAATAATTTGAAATGGCATAATTCAATGACTGAAAGGTGAAATCAAGGATTGAACTGACTTTTCAGTATGTACATATACATACATGTTTGTATTTATACATTTTTTTTTATTAAATGTTGACAAATTACAGAGAGAGAGAGAGAACTATAGCAATTTAAATCATGTTTTTATTATTCTTGTCTACTTTTGCAATATAAATGAAGTTTGAAAAAATTTTAGTAGACTAGTTGGCCATGAAAGAGTTTGTTTTTTATACATATTTACTAAACTCACACATTTAAGAAAATGTCTTCAGGCTCTTCAGCCTATACAATTTTTCTTTTTAATTACAGAGTGAAAATGCTTATAAACAATTTGCAGTGTCAGTTGACAGCCTCCATATGTATGGTTTATTTCTCTTACATTAATATGTACAAAATATAAGCTCCTCTTATGCATATCTAGCAACACCAACATCTTAGGGATATTCAAAAAGGTGTAAGATTAAGGGAAGAGTTTCCACTGCATTAAAAAATATTTTTGAATGTTTTTTAAGTTACTGGGACTTAATGTTAAACTTGCTTTCCAACATTGCTTTCTAGTTGTTCTAAGTTTCTAAGAAATCTAAACTCTGAAAGCTACGATAATAAGCCATTTTTAATGTACTCAAAGAACAAAATAGGTATGTGTGAAGGTAAGTACAAAACTTAAAAGTAATTTGTTGTTATTCTTCCCCTAAAGCAAAAAAGATCTGAGTTTGAATCCTGGGGCATTCTCTTTTTGAGAGGGCAAGTTATTTAAAATTTTTCAATATTTTGAGAAATTCTGAAAGAGAACATTTTGAAAAAGAAAATCGGAGAGATTTCTATATCTCTCTAAAATCTCACAACTCCCTAAGTTGTGAGAATAACATAAATAATTTCATGTATACATATATTACCTTACAAAAATAAGGCATTGAATAAATGATAATTAATATTATTTTTTGTGTTATCAGGAAAAGTGTGATTATAAGGGCAGGAAGTGGCATCTAAATCTGTAAATATAGAGATGTTGTTTATCTTTAGTAGACATAGGCTATTTTGTATTCTCCTGAGCCACAACACAAGTAAAAGAAGTTTATATGTATTAAATTATAGTTGGCCCTTTAACAACATGGAGGTTAGAGTTGCTGACACCCCTTGCAGTCCAAAATTTTCATATAACTTTTGACTCCCCAGAAGTGTAACTACTAACAGCCTACTATTGACTGGAAGTCTTACTGATAACATAGTCAATCAATACATAGTTCGTATGATACACACACACACACACACACACACACACACACATTGTATTTTACAAGAAAGCAAGCTAGAGAAAAGAAAATGTTATTAAGAACATGAGGAAGAGAAAATACATTTATTATTCACGAAGTGGAAGTGGATCATCATAAAGGTCTTTATCCTTGTCATCTTCACATTGAGCAGGCTGAGGAGGGGGACAAATAGGAGGAGTTGTGGCAGGGGTGAAAGAAAATCTGCGTGTAAGTGGACCTGCACAGCTTGAACCCATGTTGTTCAAGGGTCGACTGTATTTTAAATACAGTTCAATTGCCTAAGAGTTAGATTAGCCAGCACTGTTAAATAGGAGGGACAGGTACGATTTTGTATAATGCAGAGAACTCTATCTCTAGTAATTTTAAACATAATTCACAAAACAATTTGCATTTGCATTTTTGTAACACTTACCTTTTAGAAATGATGGTGTGTATTCGTAAATTCAAAAAACAATTTATTACAGTGGTTAGAACATAAACTTTGAAAGCAGCCAGTGATGTGCCAGAATCAGCACTTGAGATAATTATTAACTAAATATTCAGATATTGCAAACCCGTAGTTAAACCATGAGCAGCTTGAAATTTGCCGTGGTGAGGCATTTACACCATGGAAACTGAAAAATGCTATAAATCTAGATCTCCCCTCCAACACGTGGTTTACCAGAAACTACTGATTCAGACACATACCTGTTTAAATGTCAACTTTAACACTTAACAGTTTATAGCCTTTAGCAGCTTATCTTGCCTTTCTTTCTTGCAATTTTCAAATATGGAAAATAATATAATTATTCATAGTCCTAAAGTTTCTTTGGGGATTGGGTTAACTATATAATCATCTATTGCACATTCAGTAAATGTTAGTTCACAATAAGGACCCCAACTCATAAAAAAGACAACAAGAAAGAGAAAATCAGGAACTAAAGGAAAATTAATAAGTTTCTGAGAACAGTGAATTTTTGCTGTATTAATAGGTATCACTGAGCAATAGATTCTAAATATATAGTAGAGAAAAAAATTCACTCAAGTCAATGCTTCACTCACCGTGAAGAGACTGTTAGGTGATTGTTCACTCTCTCCAAAGGGTGGGATAGGAGAATCAGTTCTTCCAGACATGCTTTCTGAGTTAGCCATTTGCTCTGGGATCGGCTCATATAAGCTATCCATAGAGCCTTCCTGCAATACAAAGATCTGTGAGTCAAGGAATAACAAAATAATTATTTTCCTTGAAAAGATACCTAATTTATCCACCCATATTTACATAGTACTTTAAATTATCCTGGGCATAGGGATTAAGAGTTTACGGTATGCTAATTTTCAACACTGAACAATACAGTAAAGCCAAGAATTATTACACAGCCAGGAATTATTATTCCCACCATTATTATAGAACCGAGAATTTAAACATGATTCTAAATGTTGTGGAAACAGGCACACAATGAGGGAATTCCTCAAGAGGCATGTTTAAGACATTAAGTTCAAAGAACTGGCCAGCCATATGCGGAAAACTGAAACTGGATATAAAAATTATATAAAAACTGGATATAAAAATTATATAAAACTGGATAATCACACCTGATATAAAAATTAACTCAAGATGGATTAAAGACTTAAATGTAAGACCTAAAACCATAAAAACCCTAGAAGAAAAAAATAGGCAATACCATTCAGGACATAGGCATAGGCAAAGGCTTCATGACTAAAACACCAAAAGCAATAGCAAGAAAAGCCAAAATTGACAAATGAGATCTAATTTAACCAAAGAGCTTCTGCACAGCAAAATAAACTATAATTAGAGTAAACAGGCCACCTGCAGAATGGGAGAAAATTTTTGCAATCTATCCATCTGTCAAAGGGCTAATATCCAGAATCTACAAAGAACTTAAACAAAACATCAAAAAGTGGCTGAAGGATTTGAACAGACACTTCTCAAAAAAACATATTTATGCAGCCAATAGACATGAAAAAATGCTATCACTGGTCATTAGAGAAATGCAAATCAAAACCACACTGAGATACCATCTCTCGCCAGTTAGAATGCCGATCATTAAAAAGTCAGGAAACAACAGGTGCTGGAGAGGATATGGAGAAATAGAAATGCTTTTACACTGTTGGTGGGAGTGTAAACTAGTTCAAGCATTGTGGAAGAGTGTGTGGTGATTCCTCAAAAATCTAGAACTAGAAATACCATTTGACCCAGCAATCCCATTACTGGTTATATATCCAATGGATTATAAATCACTCTACTATAAAGATACATGCACATGTATGTTTACTGCAGCACTGTTCACAATAGCAAAGACTTGGAACCAACCCAAATGCCCAGCAATGATAGACTGGATAATGAAAATGTGGCACAAACTATGCAACCATAGAAAAGGATGAGTTTATATTCTTTGCAGGGACATGGATGAAGCTGGAAACCATTATTCTCGGCAAATTAACAACACAGCATGTTCTCACTCATAGGTGGGAGCTGAACAATGAGAACTCATGGACATAGGGAAGGGAACATCACACACTGGGGCCTGTTGGGAAGTGGAGGACGGGGTAGGGATAGCATTAGGAGAAATACCTAATGCAGATGATGGATTTATGGATGCAGCAAACCACCATGGCACATGTATGCCTGTGTAACAAAGCTGCACATTCTGCAAATGTACCCCATAACTTAAAGTATAATTTAAAAAAAAAAGTCAGAAAAAAAACCCAGACACATAGACCATTCTAACATAATAGAGAACCCAGAAACACACTGGCACACCTACAGTGAACTCATTATTGACAAAGCTGTGAAGAACATACACTGAGGAAAAGACAGTCTCTTCAATAAATAGTGCCAGAAAAACTAAATGTTCATATGCAGAATAACGAAATTAGGCCTCCATCTATTACCATAGAAAATAAAATCAAAAGGGGTTCAACACTTAAATCTAAGACCTCAAACTAGGAAACTACAAGAAAACATTAGGAAAAATCTTCAAAACATTGGTCTGGGAAAGGATTTCTTGAGCAATCCCCCACAAGTATAGGCAACCAAAGCAAAACTAGACAAGTGGGATCACATGTTAAAAAGCTCCTGTACAGCAAAAGATACAATCAACAAAGTGAAGAAACACCCCTCAGAACGGGAGAAGACATTTGCATAATATCCATCAAATATGGGATTAATAACTAGAATATACATGGAACTCAAACAACTCTGTAGGAAAAGGTCTAATAATCTGATCAAAAATGAGCAAAAGATTTGAACAGACATTTCTCAAAAGAAGACATACAAATGGCAAACAGGCTTATGTAAAAGTGCTCAACATCATTGATCATCAGAGAAATGCAAATCAAAACTACAATGAGATATTATCTCACCACTGTTAAAATGGCTTATAACCAAAAGACAGACACTTTCAAATTCTGGTGAAGATATGGAGAACAAGGAACACTTGTAGACTGTTGGTGGGAATATAAATCAGTACAACCACTAAGGAGAACCGTTTGGAGGTTCCCTAAAAACCTAAAAATTGAGCTACCATATGATCCAGCAATTTCACTCCTGGTTATATACCTCGCAAAAAGGAAAACAATGTATCAAACAGATATTTGTTCTCCAACATTTGTTGCAGCACTGATACAACCTAAGATTTGGGTGCAAGCTAAGTGTCTATCAACAGATGAATGGATAAAGAAAATGTGGTACATAAACACAACGGAGTACAGTTCAGCCATAAAAAAGAATGAAATCCAGTCATTCGCAACAACATAAATGGAACTGGAAGTGATTATACTAAGTGAAATAATCCAGGCAAAGAAAGACAAACATTGCATGTTCTCAGTTACTTGTGGGATCTAAAAACCAAAGCAACCAGACTCATGGACATAGAGATTAGAAGGATGGTTACCAGAGAATAGGAACAGTAGTGGGATGCTGGGGGTAAGCTGCGGATGGTTAGCAGACACACAAAAAAATAGAAAGAATGAATACAACCTACTATTTGACAGCACAATAGGTAGACCATGGTCAACAATAACTTAATCACATTTTAAAATAATTTAAAGAGTGTGACTGGGTTGTTTTTAACTCAAAGAACAAATGTTTGAAGGGATGGATACCCCATTCTCCATGATGTGCTTACTTCACATTGTATGTCTGTATCAAATCATCTCATGTACTCCATAAATAAATGTATCTACTGTGTACCTATAAAAATTTAAACAATTTGAAAAAAAAATCAAGGGCAAATGATATACACTGCAACACACACACACACACACACACACACACACACACACAGCAGTTTCATTCACCTTACCAAGGAGATATAAGGATAAAATAAATACAAGGTATGCTTTGAAATAGCAAAAATATTTTACAAATACAGTCAAGGAATTAATGTTTAGAACATCGATATTGAAAATATTATTCATTTTTGTCCTTGTATGGAAAAATGAATTTAAAATACATGTGTTTGGATTTAAAACCATTGTGTAATATATTGTAACCTGTTTGTGTTTGGTAAGCAAACTTATTAAACTGACTTTTTTGAAAGATAGAATTATCTAGTTATGACATTATCTAGAAGCAGTCTTAAAAGAGAGAGGTATACAGTATATGCTTAGTATATTGAAATATTCTAGGTGTATTAACATGTAAGTAAAGAGAAGACTGGATGCCTTGTCTGTCTTTAGAACTTTCAGCCAATATAATTTGCTGTTTCCTTTTTTAAGTAACCCCTGTTCCAAACACATCCCAAACTACTGGGAAAATGATGAAGAACTAAGTAAGTAATGTGTACTCTAAAATACATAAACATGAGGGAAACATAAGAGAAACCCAAAGTAGTGAAACTAAAGCTTTAGACACATAAAGCTTCCACTCAAAAACAGACAACATCAGGCAGATCTTAAATCCTGAGGGGTAGCATACAATATATGTCCTCTACATAAGGCAAGCTCCATGATGGAAATACAGGGTCTATAGTAGCAGTGGTTGAAAGGGATCTGAAAAAAACTTCTGCCAACAGCTGCTAGGGCTCTTGCTTATAGGAAGCCATGGAACTGAAAAGCAAAATTCAACAACATGGCCAGAAAAACAGGATATAAAACAGAATATACCAATGGTTTAGTGTCTATATCAGGAATAGTTCATATATTGGCTTGGAGTGAGATCTCTGGAGCAGCTCTGGTTTTTAATTGGGGCATCAGAGAAACATGAGAGAGAGAGAGAGAGAGAGAGAGAGAGAGAGGGGGGGGGGGGGAAATAGAAGAGTTGTGATTCTAAATTATCCAAAGCATATGAAGAGATAAAATGCTGAGAAAGAGAGCCAACCGAATTGACAATCAGAAAATTAAACCATTTCATTCCAGATGAAATTAAAATCATAAAACAGATGGAGAGATAATATAAGAAAGAATATTTCTAATCTTCAAAGAGCTAAATGAAAAAGTAATATTTGATTAAAGAGGAATAATTTATGATGAAACCAAAACGGAAATCATTAAATAGGAACAAAGAAAAATTACAACATCTTGAAAATGAGTAATATAATCACAGAAACTTATATTAAATAATCAAAAATTGGCACGAACTCTAGACCTTTCATAAGAGAGAATTAGAAAATGCTGAGTTCACTTAGGGTGCAGCATAGAAGGATAGAAAACACATGAAACACAGGGCTAAAAGGTTGGAAGATGTATTGAAAGGAAACAAACATCAATTTTAAGTATTAACATACTTTGTTTTTTTGTTGTTGTTGTTTTGCTTCTTTTTTCTTGTTTGTTTGTTTTGTTTGTTTTGAGATGGAGTTTTGCTTTTGTTGCCCAGGCTGGAGTGCAATGGTGTGATCTTGGCTCACTGAAACCACCTTCCGGGTTTAAACGATTCTCCTGCCTCTGCCTCCCTAGCAGCTGGGATTACAGGTGCCTGCCACCATGCCCAGCTAATTTTTTGTATTTTCAGTAAAGACAGAGTTTCACTACATTGGCCAGGTTGGTCTCAAACTCCTGACTTCTGGTGATCCACCCACCTTGTCCTCCCAAAGCCCTGAGATTACAGGCCCATAGTTTTCTTAATCCTAAGTAAAGTATCAACAAAATCAAATAGTGCATCTAAAACCACATTATGACCAATCAGTGTTTTAATATACAAAT